TTATTATATGAAAATAAGACCGAACTCCATTCCCTTCTATTGCTGATGATGTTACCTAGTTTGGTAATGAAACATCTGCAAGAAAACCATCAAGTTCAGAGAGCACCAAGGACCCCACAGTTCAAATATTTTCTTCTATCGATAAACCCTTTTTGGTTAGAGGGACTCAGAGCCTGTCTTATATGAGATGGCTCCCAGTGGATTTCATTCTAAATTTTGATATGATTTCTGTAAATAAGGAATGCAGAATTATAATGGCTGAGTCTTTGATCCTTCATACATCAAAAATATAAAGCTAAGGGATAAATAAATAAAAAACAGATTTGAAAAAAGAAAATGCTCAGGAAAGAAAAAGAGTGCAAGTGTAAGAAAGAAAGGAAAAGAAGGAAAACTGAAAAAGAATGACTTCCAACTTTTTTTGGTACAGATATAAGTAAAAATATATCAAACTCTTATTCTAAGATTAACATTTGTTTACATGATTTCCACATATCTAACAATAAAGCCCCAGATCAACTTTTAATTTCAGTTTCTCACAAAAAGTCCAGTAATGGTCATATCACTTTAATCACTATTTGTTAAGGAAACCACAACTGATTTATTTAATTGCACCAAACTCTAAATAAAACAGGAACAGAAAATCCTAAACTCTAGTCTAGACCCATGCTTCTCAACTTTGGCAACTTTAAGCTGCATGGACTTCAATTCCCAGAATTCCCCAGGCAGCATGAAGTCCGCCCATCTTAAAAATTTGCCAAGACTGAGAAACACTGATCTACAGATAGGGATTTTTCCATTCCTCTTTTCTTGTTCTTATTTATGAGCAATCATAATGCAAAATCCTCACTCCCACCCTAGCCCAGAGCAATCATAATGCAAAATCCTCACCTCTCACAATTCCCTCATTAACCTGCTTTCCACGTTCTCCTGCATGCAGAGCAACAAAAGAAGACCATGAGACTACCATTAAAAAGAAAATGCAACCAGATCTTCCAAGTTCTTGAGGAAAAAAAATCTTGCAAAGTTATAAGGTCTGATTTAACTTTTTTTTTTTTTTAACTGGAAGTCCCATGGTCTTCTTTTGTTTTCCTGCATGCTGGAGAATGGAGCTGGAAAGCAAGTTAGTAAGGGAATTGTGGTTGCTGCAGAATTTTGCATGAGGCTGTCCAGGCCAAAAACAGGCTGCAGGCCTGCGTCCCATTTTGGCTGACAGAGTGCTGCAGGAGGCTGTCTAGGCCAAAAACCCAGCACAGGGCTCCATTTTTGCTCGCTGGGCCAGTCCTTTGCTATTTTCAGGCCGACCCTGCAAACCAGATCTAAGCACCCCGCAGGCCTTGAGTTTGACCCCCTGTTATAAGGTATGGCAGCTTGTATGTGTCAAGTAACTATGATAAAATGATTATCATTTTTCATTACAGAAGTACTGATACAGGGAGAGTCAGTTGGAGTTTAAGGGCAATTTAAACCAACCTTCAACCTAACAAGGTAAACTAACCAAGCCAATTCTTCAGAATCAGAAATAATAGTATATTGACAGAGGGAAGGTCAGAAAAGACAGGCAGTACTAAGTCAACAGGAAGTAATATTCTGTTCAGTAGAAACAGGAAGCTGTCAATTGTCCTTTCAAAAAAAAACACAATTGATTGTTTGGTAGTAAGATCAAAGGAGTGAGCACATTTTTCTTAAGAGTGCCAATAGGATCTTAAAAATAGGATAAAGGGTAGGCCTACCAGATACTTAGCAGTAAGAGTTGGACCTGATGCCAGAACATCCTGCTCCTTCTATGTGAATAATCATTAAGAACCATGGCTGAAACTGATATATTGAATTCAGATTTGATTTAATCCATTCTTTCTTTTATCCTGGTTGTGAGATCCAAATTTGAAGGATAAAATGTAATTTGGTACACAGACGGAATTCATGTAGCACTTGTGGGGAATACCTTAAACCAAGTGTCTCCTTTTCCAGCATTATTCAGCTACCCAAGAAAAGATTCAGCTGCTTTAAGGTGCTCCTGATAGGTTTATGAATGTGTCCCATTTTGACCTTTGAAACTGGATCTCTGTAAGCTCTAATTTTATCTCATCATTTTTATGAGATATAGAGCAGTTTTATTAATTAAATTTGATATGCTGCCCATCTTGCTATTAAAAGACTGACTTTAAATTTAGATGTCACTGCTTGCCATCGCCACCACCATATTATTCTTATCACAGTAAGAGATAATTTACTTTTAAAGCACACAATTAGTCTAACGTAACATGGTGAGATATATGAAGTCACTGGGAAAAATGAAATGCATATGTTAGCCATTGTAACTTTCCACAAACCCAGCAAATATTTTTGATAATTATTTTTTGCTTGTTTTTGAGTGGCGTGGTGGCATAGTGGTAAAGATACTCTCATCCTCTTGGAGGGTTGAGAGTTCAATCCTAAACAGTGGTAGATGTTTCTCTCTTAGCACACAAAGAAAAAATATCTGCTGAGAACTGCATATAGGGATCAGGAAGGGCATCTGACCAGTAAAGGCCCAGCTCCACCCAGTAACCCTGATTCTACCCTGAATTAAGGAACTATAGGATCGTAAAAAGAAAAGAAAAAATGCTTGTTTTTCTGTGACTTGTTTTCTATGAAATTCTTGGTATTTAATGTGCTTTGCACATTTCTAGCTCACTCTATGGTCAGATTAGGACAATTCCACAAATGTGTTCTGATTTTTGAGCAGAACGTTGACATTCTTATCTAATTCCTTGGCTTCAAAATGCTGTATTATCTTCAGATAGCCACAGCCAAGGATATGCTGCCAATGTATTAATAAGGGACACTCCAGTTAGAGATGACTAGGAGAAGGGACGTAAGCAAGTGAAACCAGGGTGAAACCAGGCTTAATAGCAGTAACTATGAAAGATTTTGGGAGTCTTAGAGGACAACCAATTAATTATGAGCCAATAATGTGCAGCAGGAACCAAAAAAGTCAATGGAATCCTAAATTGTATTAACAGGGGGATACAATCAAGATCAAGTGAGGTATTAATACCACTCTATAAAGTCTTAGTAAGACCTAGAATAGTGCACCCAGTTTTGGTCACCACATTATAAAAAAGACGTTGAGACTCCAGGAAAGGTACAGAGAAGAGCAACCAGGATGATTAGGGGACTGGAGACTAAGGCATATGAAGAATGGTTATAGGGATTGGGCATGGGTAGTCTAGTGAAGAGAAGAACCAGAGGAGACATGATAAAAGTCTTCTAATATTTGAGGGCTGCCACAGAGAGGAGGGGGTCAAGCTATTTTCCAAGGCACCCAAAGGCCAGTCAAGGAATATTGGATGGAAACTGATCAAGGAGAGATTCAACCGAGAAATAAAGAGAAATTTTCGGACAGTGAAAACAATCAACTAATGGAACAGAAGTTGCCTTCAGAAGTTGTGGGACCTTCATCACTGGAAGTTTGTCAACAGACTGGATTGCCATTTGTCAGAAATGATATAGGATCACCTGTTTGGGCAGGGGTTTGGACTAGAAGAGGGGTCATCAACCTTTTGTACCTCAGTGACCACCAAACTCATAATTGTAAATCCTGTGTACCACTAATATTAATTTTGACTGACGGTGGCTTGTTGACATTGGTGGGAAACCTGGTCCCATATTTCAGAGCTGCAGTAGTCACAGGACTGGCTCTTTGGTAATCCCGGAGCAGCTGCTCCTCCACCTGGGTGCATAACCTGCCATGGACTGGAGGAGATGCTCCAGGATGACCAAAGGGCCAGTCTTATGGCTACTGTAGCTCTGGAATATGGGACTGACTTTCCCACCAACATCAGCAAGCCACCCTGGGGCGGTTGATTCCACCGCCGTTGGCCTTATCTTCTAGTTCTATCTTGCATGGCTCTACTCAAAGTAAGGTTTGCACTCGGTCAAAGGGTGGGGGCCAGAGGGTGGGTGGGCCATGTGGGCGGCGCAGCCTTGTGTTCCCGTGCAGCCTGGATTAATTGCTTTGGGGGAGTGCTTTGGGGGGACATTTCTCTGCAGACCATCAAAATTTCTCACGGACCATCAGTGGTCCCCGGCCCACTGGTTGGTGACCACTGGACTAGAAAGCATACAAGGTCCTTTCAACTCTTTTAACCTGTTAATCTGTTAAAAATTTTACTTGTTGGCACAGAAAAGCAAAGAAATACTGTTTCTCTTGCTTCCACTTTCCTGCTGTTCATCTGGAACTAAGTTGCTTGAAAAAGGCAAGAGTGACTAATGCTGCCTCTGGATCTCAGATCTTATTCAAGGACCTTCTCTGCTGGGCATCCTTTCCATGGCTTTGAATTGCAGTCTGTGGAGTACCTGGTCTTCTACTGTGGCTAGCAGGTTTCTGTGAGCAAATCCATTCTTGCTCCTCCTTTCTATGTTATCTCATCAGCAAATAGGATTGCAGTCTTAATTTTTATCATGCTAATTTTTTTATTAATAAGAGGTCCTCCTCCAAACCATCTCCAGAACAATTCTCAATGACACTTACAGTTTATGGCCATTCATAGTTGTATAATTGCATAATTGCTGCAAAAGTGACTTTCAACCGGTCCTTGCACTTACAACCATTGCAAAGTCCCCATAGTCACATGACTGTGCTTTAAGTGCTTAGGAACCGGAATACATTTACCACAGTTGCAGTATCCCAAGTTGCAGTATGACAGCCATCTGCAACTTTCCCGAACACTTCTGACAAGCAAAGTTAATAGAGGAAGCCAAATTTGCTCCATAATTGCAATAAACGGTAATAAAATCAGGCATGACTTAACGACTGTACAATTTAGGAAATTCTGGTTCCAATTGTATTCTTAAGTTGGGCATGGCTAGTCTAAATCATGGCTACCTGTGGCTACCATATTTATACATGTTTATAAAAATGAATCATGTAAATTCATAACAATACATAATTTGAATTAATTACACATTTATAATTTATGTAACGCAAATACTATTTTGAAATAGTTAAAAATACGTACTATATTTTTACACCATCCACAATTTGGGCCAGCTTGTATACAATCAGCACATGATTTTGCATTAGCATTTATACAAATGCTCCCACCTATAAGAAACATATGATCAAATTTTGTAAAAATGCATTCATAAAGCTAATTTGAGTTATATTTCGTACATGTCTTTCTCCACATTCAAACTATTCACCATGTAGCATTATTAGTGCTGCTGTAAAAGTCATTTCTTATATGTAAGGCAGCTCCATTTAGAGAAATCAGATTAAAATTTGTGTGCGTAACTGACTGTGCCATGTATTTAGCTTCATGCAGTGAAAGTCAACATTGAATAGAATAAATTTAGATTGAATTATTTACATGTAAAAAAACTGGATAGGAAAAGTTAGGGTTGTACTTCCTTGTGTTTTATAATTGTCGAGAAAATTACAATATAAGAGTTTACCTTATTGGAAGAATGGAGAATGCACAGAAGTTTGTATGAAAACTGGGTGACAACAGTTTTCTTAAATAATTTAAAATCCTCCAGGTGGCCTGGAGCATTATTTAGCAAATACAACTCAGTCCCTTACCAGGAAAGAAATCAGTGTTGATTTCTTTCTCTTGTATCAACACAGCCATAATTCCAGCTGTTAAAAAAGAATGGAATGCTTTCTAAATGAATTCAGAATGGATGTAATCTATACGAATTTAGATTTTGAAATTGTTCCACTTACTTTGTTGGGCAAATCCATACAGTATGAAGCAATTTAATATTCCAACCAAGAGAAGAAAATGGAAATGTATCTGTTGAATACAAGGAAAAGAATTAAATTAGCTGGTTTAGGTATCTGCATAAGGTTTAACAAATTTGGTTCAGACAATATAGTTTAATTTTCTTTAGTTTGCAAAACTGTAAAAAATATTTACATTGAAAGAATTATAAAATACATTAGAAAATCTATTTAAACATCTAGTAGAGCATTTATTTTTTTCACTGCAATTGCAGCATGGTAACCCTTTAAATTATGGCAATTAACTAAATTGGCATTTAATTTATCAGCAATACAGTATGTAGATAAAACAACTTGGTGAAAAAAGGAGCATAACAAACACAAAGTAAACCAGAAAGGAGTTATCTTCTTCTTTTTGTTCTTCTATTACGGACTCTTCCAAGGTTCTCCTTTTCATTGGTATAACAAGTCACTTAGTGGCTATTTGAAGTTACAATGGACTTTCCTAAAATTATTTATGACCCAGTTTTGCCTCCCTTTCCCAGTCATATGATTTTCACTTTGGGTGCTTGGCAACTGGCTGGCATTTATGTTTGTTTGCAGCATCCTGCACTCATGGACCATGATTTATGATGTTTCTTCCAGAAGCTGATTTTTTACTTCCATTTCCATTTCCATTTTACCTTCATTACTACCCACAAGGTTCAACAGGCTTACTTAACAACCTTGATGTTCGCTTAATACCAGCTGCAAAAAGGTTCATAAAATTAGGTGCGGTGATCCAGTTTACGACTGTCACAACTTAATTCTGGAATTAATTACATTTGTAAATTGATGACTACCTGTACCACTGGGAAAGAGAATTTTTTTTCCTCTCTTTTCCAAGTGACTTGGAAAAAGCTTAAAATCATTTATATATTACAGATGTAACTTATTTTCTCCCACAAAAGAGGCTTCAAGGACAGACTTCTTCCAATCACTGTGTTGGAAGAAATATCCTTCTGGGTTCAGTTCTAAGTGGGGAAAAAGACATTGGAAACATGGAGGCTGTTGGAAGGTTTAATAGTGGACAGGACCACATGGCCTGGAGCTCCAGAGTGAAAAGGAAGGATGATCACATGCTTCAAGGTGAAGGAAGAGATCAAGAAAAAGGGCTGAGGTGCTGAGAGTGCCTGGGTTTTTGTTGGGATTTGAATTGAAGCTTGAATTGAAGATCTTTGTTATGTAAAGTATTCTGGCCCAGCCTTAATGGCCCACCTATTAACAAAGGTGGGGGTGAGCGTCTACTTCTGAGGTGAGTTTCTGCTTCTGAGTTTCTACTCTTTTTAGAGGAAATATTCTGCCTTTTTAATATTTCCCAGGATATTTCAATTTTCTAGGAGAGGGGTGAGTGCTAACTTCCTACAACTGAAAGCAATTATATGACAACTCCTGAGTAAAGAGAAAGCATAGGCTGGGTCTCCAAAATACATAATGCTTGGAAACTGAGATAAGCTGCAAAAACTTCTGATTCTCTCTTTAAGCAAGACAAAAGCTGATCCATCCATTACAATCCATCAGTGACATGGATCAAATCTACATTTTTAATAATTAACAGAATTAATCCCTCTATCAATATGTTAACCAACATATTTTTAGTATCATATTCTATGCATTTGATGGAGTACACTGTAATTCCCAAAAAATCATACAATTACAAATTGAAATTGGCACAAGACTTATATTTGCGCAATAATATGCATTCTACATATTATCCTGCACAGGTGTCTATCTGTAAAGTGGTGATAAGATAATAAAGTATGATACAAACTTGACACTTTTGAATTTTTATTGTAACATTGCATGCAAGTACATAAATGGTAAGCTTGTAACATGACATCATGTTACGTGTTTTTTCATTCTGATGAAACCTTTCTTTGCTATGAATGCCCATGCTCCTCTGTTAACCAGAAAAAAGGTGTGTAATAGAATTGGAGATGTTAAAATTCTTCAGCATGTACTTTGTCCTCAATTTTGATCATCTAGCTTAAAATCCCTTAGCTTATGTTCTCCATCAATGCTTTCTCATTCCCATATTCCAGGAAACAAATTACATTAAGCTAGGGAAAAAATGGTGAAAGCATATTGTCTTATTTTAGAACATGTTTTATATGCTACTGTATGTCTTAAATGCAACAATAATTATAGAATGTACTTTAATGTTTATAGAATTGGACATGTTTTTTGATGTGCCAAAGAGGCTGCAGTAGCATGAAAGTTACATACTGACTGAGGAAAGAGAAAAAGGATTCACAATATGCATTGCAGAAGAGAAGGATCTTATAATAAGTAGTTTTTGAAAATCTTCGCCAGTCATAATCACTGACATCAGCCAGACTATACAGAAGCCGAGTCAGCTGGAATACTGCTTGACTTTTTACGAATAGTTCTTGACCTATGACTGGTCCCTTAATGGGCTGTGGAGGCTGCAAAGAATGCAGTATTGCAGGCAAACTCTGCTCACTGCCAGCAGTTCGATTCTGACCAGCTCAAGGTTGACTCAGCTTTCCATTTTTCCAAGGTGAGTAAAATGAGGACCCAGATTGTTAGGGGCAATATGCTGATTCTGTAAACCACTTAGAGAAGGCTGTAAAGCACCATGAAGTGGTTTATAAGTCTAAATGCTATAGCTATTAACGACTGTTCAGTATTATAACAGACTTCCTCAAGGCTATTTACAACTCGGATTCAAAGCTCTGACAGTTGGCCTCTCCCCACAATCATGAAATCACATTTTGAGTGCTCGACAACTGGGCCATATTTATGATTGTTTGTAACATGATACAGTCACACAAATATGATTAATCTCTCTCTCACACACACACACACACACATCTGCTGGAAAATAGCATCTACTCCCTGTTTCTGGCAAGAAGTACCCACTGTGGATAATTTGTTTAATGATTATTACCGCATCTGCTTAATAACTGCAAAAAAGGTTGTAAAATTGGGCATGGTCACATGGCAACTTACTTAAACAACTGGCATGACTTATGACCGTAATTCTGCACTCAATAACGATTATGAGGACTACCTGTACAGGTTGCAACATCTGGTCTAACAGAAACACATTAATTAAAAATCAAGATAGAGGTCTTTGGAATCTTTATGAAATGAGACAATAGAAATTAAAAAAAAAACAAGTACAGGAAAATAACATACTGTTTATAAAACAGACAGCACAAGTTTCTCTTTCTTTTCCGGAAAAGGAAATTTGTCACTTCCTTTAGCATTCTGACTTTTTAGATAGTTATAATAAAAACTGTGGTAGAGAAGAACTGGATATAAAAATATTAAACACTTGAAAACTTAATTACTGATCAGATTTCAGCTGCAGAATAGTGTGGTTTTATTTAGAAAACAAAGGTTACTGTGGCTATTATAATACTGACACTGTGAATAAAAATAAATCATCCATAATCACACAAAGAAACAGGTCAAATGTGCTTTCTTGCCTACTTTCAAAAGATTGAAACAAAAGTGCTTCAGGTCAGCAGGGGGAGTTTTGAAAGTGACAAAGAAAGGACAAGAAAAGAAATCCCATGCATCATTAAATGCCACTGAATTTGCATATACGGCTATTATTCAACCAGTCCTCATCTTATGACAGGTCACTTAGGGAGTGTTCAATCTTGGGATTGGTCCCCCAAGAGGTATTTATGATCTGGTTCTGAAGTCATGCGAACACATTTCAGGGGCTTGGCAATTAGTATGCATTTACAACTGTTTGCAGTGCTCTGCAATCAGATAACAGAAAAACAAGAGTTGGAAAAGACTTTAGTCTTTTAGTCCAACCCCCCTGCTCAAGTAGGGGACCTTATAACATTTCAGATAAATGGTTGTCCAGCTTCTTATTAAAAGCCTCCAGTGATGGAGCACCCACAACTTTTGAAGGCAAGCTGTTCCACTGATTAATTTTTGTCACTTGATAGGAAATTCCTTAGTTCTAGGTTGATTCTCTCCTTGATTAGTTTCCATCTGTTGCTTCTTGTCCTGCCCTCAGGTGCTTTGGAGAATAGGTTGACCCCCTCTTCTTTGTGGCAGCCCCTCAAATAATAGAAAACCGCTATCATGACACCTTCAGTCCTTCTTTTCACTAGACTAAAGGTAAAGGGTCCCTTCGCACATATGTGCTAGTTGTTTCCAGCTCTAGGGGGCAGTGCTAATCTCTGTTACAAAGTCGAAGAGCCAGTCCAAAGACATCTCCATGGTCATGTGGCTGGCATGACTAAACACCGAAGGCGCACAGAGCGCTGTTACCTTCCCACCAAAGTGGTCCCTATTTTTCTACTTGCATTTTTACATGCTTTCGAACTGCTGTGTTGGCCAAAGCTGGGACAAGTAATGGGAGTGCACTCCGTTACGCGGCGCTAGGGATTCGAACTGCCGAACTGCTGACCTTTCTGATCAACAAGCTCAGGGTCGCGTCCTTTTTCACTAGACTAACCATACCCAATTCATGCAACTGTTTCTCATATATTTTAGCATCCAGGCCCATAATCCCATGACTGGGATTAATGACATTTTTGCAAAAACTGGTATTTATTTCTGGGATTTGGCAAAAATGCCCCATTATAAACAACAACTTTGCTTGACAAACATGGATTCATTTAATGACCATGGTGATTTATTTAACAACTGCCACAAAAAAGGCAGTAAAATCAAATCAATCATATTTATAACTCATTTTACAACCGTTATGGCTTATGATTGTAATGGACAGGCTCAGTTATAGTTGAAGACTACCTTTTGCAGTTTATATATGCATTTTTTAACATGCTACTTAAACCTAAAGTGACTTCAAACTTAATTGATATAAAAGTATGCACAGTATAGACTTCTGAATACATTTGAAGGAAGATTCAGGCAAAATTGAGCAGGTGCAAATAAAGGAATGACTGGAAACTAAGTCTGATTGGGAAAGAATGAAGCAATTGATTGAAGAGTATTAGTTAGAAAGCTTTATATACCTGAAAAGGTGCCAAAATAAATGGCTTGATCTGTTGTCACAAAGGCCTATCAACCCCGTGCTTTTAGAAGTTGAACTTATATTTTGATTTTATATAAGTATAGTAAAAACAGTGAAATTCTCAAATCAAATACAAGCCCCTTTCACCCAATATTTAAAGGGAAAAAATAAAATGTGCTTATGTCATTATTTATTTGAATGTTTATCCTACCTTTCCTCTCTGAGCTCAAGGCAGCATGAGTAGTAGCCCTCTGAGAGAAGTAGGATTGAGTCACTGAGTGAGTTTCTGCGGCTGACTGATGTGCTTAAACCTCCCAACCCCCATCTTAATCCAGCTTCTTGGCTGCTTCGCTGCCCTACATTTTACAACTCATTTCTTACTTTCCTGTGTACAAAATATGTAACAATTTAAAGAGAAGAAAAAATACCTTAAGAAGTTAAACTTTGTAGAATAAAATAAATAATTCTAAAAATATATACCTGTTTTCAATGTACATGAACATATTTCATTTAATACTGAAGCCAAAATACCTCTCCAATGGCATGTAAAGCATTTATGTAAAATGCATGTTAGTACAAGACTATCGTATCCTACAAAAGCAGTGAATTCCATTCATTGTCTAAGTTTGTTACTAGAGATTCTAGGCCACATTTATTTTTGACAGAATTCTCCTATAGGTAATCCCTAGTTGACTGTAATGGAACCTGTCCATTATGGCTGTGTATTCTGATGACCATTAAGCGAATATAGTGGCTGTAAGAGCAAACCTACTGATACTGTTCGCTATAGAGTTTTACTAAAAACTGAAAGAAAATGCCAGTTTTCAGCAAAACCATAAAAAAAGTCATGTAACCACAGGATGCTGCAAACAGCAGCAAATTGTGGCCACGTTGCTAAGCTCCCTAAGTGCAATCATGTGACCATGGGTGGGAACCAACAGAACTTTGAATCTGAGTTGAATCTGAACTTTGAATCTAAGTTCCCTTTTCAGTTAGGTTGTAACTTTGAATGGTTGCTAAGCAAACAGTTATAAGTTGAGGATTGCTATATACCTGATGATTCTAATGAATATTAAAGAAGCACAGAAAACTGCTTTTTCTTGACTCAGACTTTTGGTCCATCTAGCCCACTAGTGGAACATGATCTACTTACTAACTGCTCTTCAAATTATTTATCTACAGCAGGAGTGGGGAATAATGGTCCTTTTATGACTTGTGGATTTCAACTCTCAGAATTCCTGAGGCAGCCATGCTTCTGGCTCAGGAATTTTGGGAGTAGGAATCCACAAGTCATAAGGGGGCCATAATTCCCCATCTCTGATCTACAGTATCTGGACAGACTAATTTTAAAAGCTGATGGCAGAAGACACATTCAGAGAGGAATTTTTCCAGTCTCATTTGCAAATGTCACAAATCTGAGACTGGATCTCCAGAATGCAAAATATACCTATTTATCACTGAAACAAATCCCCTCCTTTAAAACAGTGGGATACTATTGTCAACAGACCAACAACTCCTGATTTGCCAGTGAGCACTTAGATTATCTGGATATTAAATATGTTCAAAGAATAATAATTTATTGTTTAAACTTTAATGAACCAGCCATAAGCAGAAGCCAAATTTTAATCCTTTTATATTCTCATAAGTTGAAGAAGAAATCAGTTACAGGTTCAGGTGTCAAGGGAACTGTATTCAGACATTTTTGCTTTTAATTTATTCTGTAGGGTAAAAATGAGGTATTGGAGTACATTAGTCCAGACCCATCAGAATTAATTACAAAACAAGAAACTATTGTCTATAGAACTGACTACTCATTTTTTAGGCTACGTAAGTCTGCTTACTCATTTCCTTTTTTTTTTTTTTGCAACACCCTAGTGAGTAATCTGCTTTATCATTATTTGATTTTTATGCTGTAGTTTAGTGCCCAAGGGCAGAAAATCTTTCTGGTTAACTACAGTTCTTCCATTTGAAACTGCTAATTAGATTCCAAGTTTAAGCATGGTCTAGAGAAGTGAAAGGTTATCCAAAATTAGAGTATATCATTCTCTATTATACATTTCATATGATTTATATCAGCTGTAACATTTAAAAAAAAACCTTGAAAAGACTAGGTTGTCCCTTTGTGTTAGTGCAATACATTTCTAGCATAATGATTAATAGGCAAATGGAAGGTTAAGACACATGTCAATCTTACTCTTCAACATACAAAGAAGCCTTGGGAAGATTTATTGTATTTAACTATCTACAATGTCTGGATAAATTAATTTTGAAAGCAGAGACTCAGGAAAATCATTGGCAAAACAAATCCGTGCTTCAATAACCTTGTCTTGTCTTACATTATACAAGTTGTCTTATATATGCTTAACGTGGAAATTTAAGCCTTCTACATTATTGAGAAAAATTAAAGGAGTGATAGCTAAGTTAATTGTCACTTGACATTCTATCGTACACACTGTATTTGCACAATAGCAAAATGAAACTTCCCCCATTAACAATCAGTTCAAATTTATTTATTTAGCCTATAGCAAATCAGCTCAGAATTAAAGGATCTTACATTCAAAAACAAACCCAATTGTGACAAGGAAGGGAGGGATGAATCTAAATCAGAACCCACCACTTCTCCTTTTCTGAGTTTCTTCCTATTGCTTCTAATGGAGAATAATGAATCCTCATCCATTTCAGGGACCATAAATTTTCTATTATACTTTGTTTTGGTTAAAATTATTAGGATTTATGTCCCCCCTCCCCCACATGCAAGAATTTCCCATTTTGCTTCTGATTCAGACTTCCAGGATGGAGGAATCAAAAGCCTGAGATGCTTGCAAGAATGAATCTGTTCCTGAGAGGACAGCTTGCTTTGGCCTTTAGTCAATCCTTCTATGAATCAGCTCCTAGCATATCCTTGTAAGGACTATAGGATCAGGGACTTGGAGAAGTTTATAACCTGTCTTCAATATTTCAATTATTGAAGTAGAACAAAGGCATTAATAAAATTATTTGATCCTGTAAAATAAAGGCCCAAATTAGTCAGCTTCAGCTCATCACAGGATATGAACCAAGTAAAACAATTCATTTGATATACCTGAAAGCGACAATAGTTTAGAATCACAATGCTACCCAAACTGCCTTGATTTTTAGGTAAATCAGGTGCTACTAAGGTTCACAAAATAGCACACAATCTTTTAAGTACTGTCCATCACTTTTTTGTGAAACAAAAATGGAGGGAGGGAATAACTAGTGGAATCTGTATTTTGATAAAATGCTGGCAATATTCACATTAGGTTCTGTCAGAGAGAATTGATCCTCTGGTTCTTGGAGCATCCAGCAAATTATAGTATTTAATGTGAGGGAAGAAACTGTTAAATATATGGGAATAATCACTACCAATATGTAATTAATTTAAATTAATTAAGCTGAAACTAAATGTAAATCAAAATTACTTTTTTTTAAGAAGGCCACTCTTCCTTGCGTTAGTATGATCTACTTCCTGGATCTTAGTCCCCAAAATGTATACCCCGATTTTAATAAAGCTACTTTTAAAACACAGAAGTGAATAATGCTGTTTTTTTTTTTTACAAACATAATCCAGAAACTATAATTCTCTATCTTTGGGTCAACCACAGGTCTTAATAAATTGAAAACCAATGTACAGTAGAAGAAATTGGATAGTTCTTGCAACAACACAGCCAAATATAATTTGAAAGGATGCCCAAGATAAAACCAATTTGCCAAATTAGGCAAGCAAGTGTGCCTTCTACTGCAATGTTATTAGAACAATAGCAATCAATGCCAAAATGACATTTCTAATAATATTTCAAAAGAAACAGCAATGCAGCAACTAGGGGTTGGTTTGGATAGAAAAAAAATCTTGCTTAGTTTGAATCAATGGTGAATGAAGGGTTCAATGGTCAACAATTTTCGGAACACTTTAATCAAGGTAATTTAATGTGTCAGAAAAGCATGAAATCATACAGAAAAAATATTATCAACAGAAATGCAATGCCTTCCCCAGAGACAAAGAGGAAGTTCCTATAAAAAGATGTTAATATTCCAATATAAATATATTACTGCAACCTCCACTGTAATTGTACCAGATACACAAGAGAGGGCAAATGGAAAAAAAAATATCGCTACCAAAAATATTTTGGGAATGAAATGCTGTATCTTCAGGAAACAGAATGTACGAAGATATCCTATGAGTTCAACTGCAGGTAAATATAGCTGGAAGAAAACTACACTGGTTGTAACTTCTCTTGAATCTATTTTGAAGTTACTTTCTATAAAAAAAGAAAACACCAGGGCGGCTTTAGGATCAGGAAGTTGCAAACGTCGAGCTTTTTCATGCATGTTTTACTCAGCTGCATTTACGAAGTTATTCCCAGGCAGGCAGGCCATCGAGTATCAACTCAGAGATCAAACTCCACAAACGGCCTTGGCAAAATAAATAAATAAACAAACACGGATCGGTAACACACGCATAAGCATCGTGTGAATCCTTACATTGCAAACCACTCCGCGTTTCCATCCGCCGCTAAGGCAGCACAGATCGCTGTTGGGTTTGCTTGGAGCCTTTAGCCCTTTAGTCCTGCTCGGGATCCCAAGACTCGAACACAATTCACGGGGGGCGGCTGGGGCGGGCGGGAGATGATGATCCACGCGTCCCCTTGCCGCGCCAGAACAAAAGACTTCGGGGAAGGACTTTCGTTACTTCCCGGATTTCGCTCCAAGATCTTCTCCCTTCCTTTACTTAGCAGCCCCGCCCCACACTGAAAGACCCATCCTGAGTAGGTGGGGTGGGATTGGCGGGGGGGGGGGGCTCTGAAAAGGGACCCCGGGCGATCCTTCGGGAAAGGGGAGCAAGACCGGAGGAATCTGTCTTTTTTATCCGCAGCCATGTACGCGAATAAAGGTGCCCAGAATTGCTATACAGCAGCTTTGCACCCCCCACAAAAAACCAACCCTGTGCAGCCCTTACCGATGTCATGGCCGGAGCTCGCCTCTGGTGCGTCTGGCCCAGAGGAGAAGCTGGCTGGCGGCGCGGGAAAGCTCCTTCCTGGCCCTTCCCAGCCAGGCCTGGTCTGCTCTCCGGGGCGGCGTTCGGCGTCTCCGCTCCTTCCCCCCGTGTGGCAGACCCGCCAACGCCGCTGCTCCCTCTTCGCCTCCGGAAGCGCATTCCTGCCTGCTGCCGTCAAGCGGGGCGGAGCGTGCAAGGCGCTGGGGGCCTCGGGCACGTCGGAGCACGGTGGGGGTTTTTCCCTGCCCGGCCCGAAGCTAGCGAGATCTCCGGGTGCGGCCGTTTCCCTCAAGACCCGCCCGAGGGAAGCGAGGCGCTTTGCCGCCGCATACGTCGTGCAGGACCCGACGTGCAGCTTTCTAGACTTCTCTGTCCGAAAGTGAATCGTTAAGGTTTAGGACGCAGGTTATTGCTAGCAAAAAGTATGTAGAGATTCTCAGTCATCCAGGTCATGGTTGTCCCAAAGGTGCTTTTTTGGGGGGAAGCAACTGGACTTTCTGGGTGTTTTTTTTTTTTTTTTTGGAAGACGTTTCGCTTCTCATGCAATAAGCTTCTTCAGTTCTGACAGGATGATGGGAATGGAAGGATTTATGTTCGTTGCAGACAGCTGGTTATTTTTATCCTTGAAGTACTTAAAGTTATTGCTAGCAAGCTGGAGAAGATGGTCGTCTGAAGTCTGGGATTAGTTGAACTCAAAGGGGCTTCTTGATTAGGACCACAGGTTATAAAAAGCAAACTCTTCTTTTGCTCTTCTCATTTTGAGCCAGAAGAGGTGAACCACTCTGAGACTGTGCTGCACTAAACTGTGATTTGCTAAACCAGCCAACTGTGTTTTGCATGAACAAGACACAAATAGGTGTTACCAATAAAGGGGAATAATAACAACAACAATAATAGAAGATCTGTCAACATCTAGAAACAAAGTTATAACTGGCAGCCACCACAGGTTTGTTTAAAACAGATTATTCCAAACCAATCTTGTGTTTCATTCTTTCACAAAGTGACTAAATTAGTAGAAATGCTGTGGACATAGTATCTTTAGACATTTAGGCTAGGCATTTGACAAAGTAGACCACAACCTACCTGGTAAGCTAGAAAAATGTGGGTAGACAACATCACCACCACATGCATTTGTAGCTGGCTGACAAACTGCATTCAAACTGTGCTTAATGGCACTACATCTACGTGGAGGGAAGTAAGCAGTGGGGTATCACAAAGTTATATCTTAGGCTCAGAACTCTTCAATATCTTCATAAATGACTTAGACAGGGGAATAGAAGGAGAACTCATCAAATTTGTACATGAACTATGCTGGCAAGAATAGTCAACACTCTAGAAGACAAGTTCAGGATCCAAAAGGAACTTGACAGACTTGAACAATGAGTCCTATCCAGCAAAATAAAATTTAATGTGGAAAAAAGCAAGGTTTTACACCTGGGTAGGAAAAATCAAAAGCTACACGTACAGATTAGGTGAATCCAGGCTCAAAAATTTAACCGAGAGGAACCTTGAAGTCCTAATGGACGATACCTTAAACATGAGTCAAGAGTGTGCGGCAGCAGCCAAAAAAGCTAATACAATCCTTTGTTGTATAAACAGAGGCATAGAATCAAAATCACATGAAGTATTAGTGTCACTTTATAAAGCCTTAGTAAGAAATACTGAAATACTGCATCCAGTTTTGATCACCACATTACAAAAAAGATGTTGAGACTTTGGAAAAAGTGCAAAGAAGACCAATTAAAATGATTAAAGACCTGGAAAATGATTGCAAGATTTGAATTTTGCTATCTAGAGAAAAAAAGGACTACAGGGACATGATAGCAATATTCCAGTATTTGAGAGGCTGCCACAAAGTGGGGGGTCAATTTATTTTCCAAAGCACCAGAGGGCAGGACAAAAAAAATGGATGAAAACTAATCAAGGAGAGAAGCAACCTGGGATTAAGGAGAAACTTCTTAACAGTAAGGACAATTACCTAGAGTAACAGCTTAACTCCAGAAGTTGTGAATGCTTCACTGGAGGTTTTTAAGAAGAGACTGGAGAGTCAGTTGTCTGATATGGTATAGGATTTCTTGCTTACACAGAGGGCTGGACTAGAAGACCCCCCCCCCCAAGGTCCCTTCCAGCTCTATTCTGATTCATTCTAGACTGGTAGCCAATTGAAGGAAAGGAATTGAACTCCTATCCCACCCAGGATGACAATAGCTATTAATCACTCTTCCCCAACATGATGGTAATCCAACATGATGGTAATCCCCAACATGATGGTAAAGAGCAGAAGCTGAGGACAGACTTGGGGTGAAGCAGGAGAAAGTCTTCATGACGTTCTTCGAAATCCTCCTTTCTGAAAATGGACAGTAAATTATTCAGAAAGTCTGCTAAACCTGGCTTTAGAAATAATCTTGCTGACAAGTCACACACAAGGAGAAGGGATGAAACTGGAGGTGGGTCCCATGTGATAAGTCCTCAATGACCAGGGAGTTTCTGTTCCAAGTGATTTTGGCAAGGGTCTGAGAGGTGGACAGAAAAAAAAATCCTAAGTATTTCTTGGTTTTTGTAGGCCAGATATGATAGCAATATTGTCCTTCAGTGCATTTTAACTTAAAAAAAAAAAAAATAGAATAATGTTTCTCAACCTGACTTCAGCTTCTAGAATTTGTACAATGTTCCAAAAGTGATTCTAGGTGGCATATACAGCTTTAAAAGATAAGTTTTAATAAAAAGAAAAATACAATCCAACTCATAAAGAGTGGCATCAATAACAATAGCACTTAGACTTATATACAGCTTCAAAGTGCTTTACAGCCCTCTCTAAGTGGATTTACAGAGTCACTATACTGTCAGGACTTCCGGTGGTGTTTTCGTTGAGGACAGATTGAAGGCTGCGATCATGCGTGGCTTCCACACGTGTTGTTCCTGTTAAAGAGCTTCCAAAGAGGCTAGAACCACCTTGGAGGGGTGGGGAAGAAGAGGGAGGCTACCTGTTAGGTTGTGGGGAGCTGCATCTCCCCTCCCTGGCTAGGTTAAACCCCCGAAGATGGGCTGCAGCGGTAGCTAAATATGGCCATCCTGAAGACAAAGAGTTATTTGGGACAAAGATTGTGCAGGAGTGGTGAAGAAGCGGACAGTGTGGAGACCAGGCAAACGAGGCACAATATTGGAATATAAAGGTACCATGGATTTAAAGTTTAAAGAGACTTGTAAGAAAGATTGGAAAACCAGAGGGAGTGGGGGGGAAATTGGACATAAGTGAAAGTGGCTTTGAACTTTAAAAATAGTTAAATTGAAAGAGGAAGCTAGAAGAAAATATCTGCTTAAATTGGAATATATTAAATTACATGATATTGGCACTAAACAGGCATAATTAAAAGCTGAACTTGAATGTGTCAAAAAGAAATAATACTTAACAATTGGACTTATTGGATTATTGAAAATTAAAAGCCGTAAAAGGGAAAGGAAAGTGAAAAGAAAAGGTGGAACTTGGACATAACAGAGGCCGCCACCTAATGGTAAAGGAAAAATTTCAGTGACTCTTTAAAAAGTGTTTGGTTCTCTAAAAATTGGAACTTGATACAAAGTAAGAGGAACTTTGATACAATAAGATAGAAACTCTGAAAAGTGAAACCCTGGGAATACTAGGTGACTTTGAGAAAAATTCAAAACCCAACAAAAGGAACTTAATAATAAAAATATATAAACATTGGACTATTTTAACCCTGGAAAATTGAAACAGGATTCAACAGAAGTGGATGGCTAGAAGCTGGTTTAAATAAACTACTGGACAACTGGACTGGACTGGACTGAAATACTGAAGAAAGGGACAAAAGAAAAACTAAAATTGAAAGAGGTGCACAAAAATGGCAGAATTTTGTTTGAAAATAAAACACGACTTAAGAAGTATAAGGGAAATGAAATGTGAAAGAGTAGAACTGTGCAGTATTGCCTTGAAAATATTAGAAATTGCGACGTTGGAGAACAAGGAGATCCAGAAGGGGAGGAGTTGATTAAAGAAGAGGCCAGCCTCAATGAACAAAAGGGGCAATGAACATTAAAACAAGGGGAAAGAAGTATGGAAATTAAAAACTTGGAGGTTTGAGGGGACAATTAAAGAGGTAATTTGGAAAGTCAAACAAAGAAAAGGGAAACAGCAAAAAAGGGAATTACAGGAGAAAGCTCAAAAGACGGCAGGGGATAAAAATTGGAGCCAGAAATGGAGGGGAAAAATACAGGAAAAGGGGAATAAGGGAAAGGACCAGAAAAGAAGGGGATATAGAAAGCCAAAAAAAAAACCCAATGAAAAGAAGCTACGCGGCAAGAAGACCTAGAGATAATGGGTAGGTAAAGAATAAGAAAGGGGATTCTACAAGATAATGTACAGCGAGGTAAAAAAACAGATTTTTTTTAAAATGAAATGATTGGAACTGATGCTTTTTTAATCTGATTATTTTTTTAAGAATGATGGTTAAACTATATATAGATATATTTGGAATAAATGTAAAAGCGGGAAACTATTATAAGGATGTTAATTAAATTAAATGAAATTAAGAATATACCTCAAATGAATTATGAGAATTGTACTAAAAAGATTAATATCAGTTTTTACAATTAGCTGAAAAGATAAATGTATTTGAGATAATAAATGACTTAGAAGGTAAAGGAAAGAATACCATGTGGAATCTAATCTAAAATGTATATGTGATATGTAGCGTTTAGGTGATAACTAAAAATGATTATATTATGGGAATTTTTAATATGAGTTAAAGGGAAATAAACTGAATGATGCATAAGACAAAAGGGTGGTGCACTCAAACGGGCAATTAAGGGACATATGTTTGGAATGTTTAAATTAAGATGGAATTTATTGAATAATGAAACAAGAGTATATGATAAAATTGCAAATATGACAGATAAAAGTATAAAAGCATAATAAACATAGATTAAGAAATAAGAATTTTAAGATATAATATAAAAGATATAATTAAAGAAAAATGGAATAAGTTAAGATATGAATTGAAAATGGATAAAATAAGTGTGAAAAATATAAGAATATTTGTGAAAATTTACAGAAAATGGAAAATGTAATGATAAGATAAGAAACTGAATATGAAAGATAAATATGTAATTATGGTCATATTTGTATGGAAATGTAAAAACCTG